AAAAATATCCGTATTCTGTGACTCCGCAAGGGGTTGCTTGCTATGTTGAGTTTAACATCGAAGGCATGAAACTCCGAGAGATTTTTTCGGGACTCCGGATACCGGGAATTTAATTTATTGTGATAAAGCTGTTGGAAATGTACGTCAAGGCTGAAGGCGTTCGCAATAATGAGGTTGCGCAAAGTAGGAAAATCCCTCAATCATCGGGTGGTTATTTTGGAGCAGTTTTAGCCGAACAGGTTCCGGCTGAAAGAGTTTGGCCGGATCTAAATTTATCTCCACGGGCGAATAAGAAGCGAGGAAATAATTTCTCCCCTAGTATACATAATCCACAAGCTGAGTGGTATACTTCAATTTTCCTTTGTGTTACGATGTATATTTTTGTGTATTGTATTTGTATTAACATTCATATATTCTACAGGGGGTACCGACCAGATATGAATTTTACAAGTTATGAACCAACGGCCAATTGAAATATGCCTAGTTTTGGTGTGTTGGATCATGATGGTCCATCCGGGAGTCAGCATCAACAAGATAATGTGCATCATGAGATATCAACACATTATGATTTGTAAGTGAATATATAAAGTTATATGTATTGTTTAGACCAATTTCAGTAACTCATTATTTCTTTGGTTGTGCAGTGAAAACGAGCAATTTGATGGTCCTATCTTCACTTAATTACCTGAAGACGACGTATTTACTCGGTATCTGGCAGATGTGCAGAGGCAGAAAAAGAATAGTGATTATGAAAATAATACCGATGAGTCTGGAGATGACACACCCTTCCCTGACGAGGGTGATGATGAGGAGGAAGAGAATGCCGGACCTGGTTTGACGAGGAAGCATGCTCCACCTCCCGTTTGACCAAGAGTGTATGAGTCCCACGTGTCGTTTCATGATGAGATTTTTTTTTTTTGATTTTTTACTCAACAAGTCTGTTATTTTATATGTTAGTTTATTATTGTATATGTTAGTTTTATTATTTAATATGTTAGTTTTATTATTTAATATGTCTGTTTGTTTGTTATTGACTTATTTTTTACTATACTAAAATGAAATAATTAATTTTCATAACTATAGAAGATTTAATTATTAAATATTCACATTTTGATTTCGGACACAATATTTGAGGCCTAGCAGCGCCAATGTATCATGAATTCTTACGTTTGTTGACTATAATTGGAGATAATTTGTGTTTGAATATCAGCTTTTTGACGTCTTTTTGGGAATAAGAGATACTTAAATGATTCATTTTTATAACTACAAGGATACTACGCTAAAGGGCACTACGTTTTACTACGCTAAAAGGTCACTACATTACAAATGCGAACACTACATTAGGCCACAAGATACCACTACAGGAAACTAAAGTAAAAATTTATCTAGTTTACTAGTCTTTTAGCAAATTAATAATCTAAATCGGATAAAAATAATAAATCAATTTAATCACAAAACAATCACGAAATTACATATACCACAGTAAAAAAATAACTAATTAATATTTTTTTAACAACTAATAGCAATTTCTCTATTTTTTTAGCACACTAATACTATAGTCCGGACAAAAAATAACAAATTAGTTAAATCGCAAAACAATCACAAAGTAACATAGAGCACATAAAAAATAACTAATATGCATTTTTATACAGGTTTTAACAAAAACTAAGCTGGAATACCTTGATTTAAGGTTTTTAAGAAAGTCAAAGATTGTGATTTGGAGCCGAAACAAGCAACAATGTCCGGTATAACGCCTTAGCTAGCACGTGGGACCGAGAATCTTTACTTTTTGTGGGACGGGTGGGCTCCACTCAAGCTTTTTTGGATTAAAAATTGGG